AAGCCGGCGGATTTTGCTGTGTAAAATTCCTTCCCAAGCTGATTTTGGCTTAATACGCGGTTGGGCCTATTAACCGTGGGCTTAATAACAGACGATTAATGTATTGTCCCAGCGATCGAATCGGCTTCTTTTCAACTACTTCCTGGGACTCATGTTTGCTTGTACTGACTACTAAAACCTCCGCTTTAGGACGGTGTTCTCTTGCCGAGCTTACCGAGCATGTTTAGCATCCTAAATTGGCGAAACCAGGTTGATAGCAATTTTTTATTTTAATTAATTTTTTAAATTTAATTTTCGCAATGGGAAACTTCTTGGTTTCTGATATTGAACATGCTGTAGTCGGAACTGAATTCGATTAATAAACTTAGTATTTACGATTAAATGAAACGCCCATCAAGATAAGTTAGTCTCCACGGTATTTACCTAAACGTTGTTTATTTTTTAAGAAACATTCAGAAGTGGGAGGTGACCCCACAGCTGGCATTTACTTTTTCTGCACAGACGACCGCAACTTTTGAAGATTGCAACTTGTTGCTGTGTATATAGGGTTATGTCCACTTATGAAAATACCTCTATATATGGCAATAAAATTATTTCCATCCAGAGAATCGCATTTTGACAAGGTCATGGGGCTGTAAAGCTCAAACTAAAGTAAGTCTTTTTGTTCGCAAGTCCATTTAAATTGCCATTCCTACGTCTACTTTTCCGTGCCTTATTTTGAGCCACTGCAAGGACCTTGGCTCTTTCAGAATGGTGACAGACAAGTGCAGGATTCGGGTTTCGCTTTTTAAGTGCTAACAGTCCGAAGATGCTCTGTCAAATAGCGGCCCCACCATGCGCACGTTAATGCTTTCTTTCTACGTGTATCTACGCCATCGTCTCTCACTACGTTCTTCAAGGGAATGTGCAATCGATAATCCATGAAGTTTTGGTCTACCCAATCAGCGTCGCGTTGGCGTCCCTGACGTAGGCTGGATAAGATTCCGAAAAAAACTTCTGAAATTATGTAGCTACTCTACCACGCACCAATCGTACACTAGCGTAACTTTGAATACTGAGAGAACATCTGTCTAGCTTCTGCGCTCGAGCGCTTTTTCCCAGGGTCTATTGCAGGCGTAGTCATCGTTGGCACTAATACTTGACGTAAGTGAATTGAACGACTGCCCCGTATATGCGCGAACCAAAAAGTTTTAGGCGATAGGTTGCGTACCTGCCTCAGCACAGCAACTCATTCCGATAAAACAGTCTGATTTGATCCTCTACTGTACTCACAGTGAGACGTAGCAGCATGGTTAGGACTGCTTCATGTTTGGTTATGCTTGCACTTTCTGCCCTGGGTAAGTTGACTGCTCTACCATTTCAACATTAAGTATTAGACAATATGGGTTACTTAGATTGAATCTTAAAATGTTTCCCTCTCACCATAGCAGTCAGCCAAGCCAGTGATGTTAAAATATGTGGCAAGCCGGAGACAACCTTTCGAAATGCACTTGTGGAAGTTGATTTCATTGCCGAGGTACTATCATTGACCATAAAAACTAATATTGTAATGCTTTGCTTTATTGGCCGATATGACATTTTTTGCTGTTCCACATAAGAAAATTGTCCAAAGCTCACAAACGATGCCAGATTAATTTTTACTTTATTTTACAGAAGGAAATTGTAGATTGCAACCCAAATATGACGGAACTCTGTGCATTTGTCCTCGGTAAGTTTCAACACCTAAGACCATCCGTAGTTTGCCTTTGAAAATAAATATAATTCACGCGTGTGTGTTAATTTATAGGTCATAAGACAACATTTACGATTCTCGCGGGCACATCCATTCCATCAGGAACAAAACATATTAATTTGTCCGATGGTCATGAGATAACTGGCTATATCCCGATAAACGGTAAAAAAACATATGTGCCTCATCTTGCTTCTTTGTTTCTAATCACGACTTAACTGACAGCCTCCATTTTCACTGAAAGGCTTCAAACTGAATGACGAGGTTTCACCGCTTGATCAGTTGCCTGTGCAGGATGATAAGGTTGCAGTGAATGTAGACTACACAGTGCATACTTATGTAGCAGTAAGTGCAAGCCCTAGTTCGATCAGTTTAATCTTCTTGCTGGCATTTTATTTCTTTTTGACCCCTTTTCTACTTTTTTTTTCAGACTACTGAACCATCAATTGAGTTAGCAAATAAAAAGGGTAAGCGCTCTGCCACGCCGGCAATTATTACTCCATAACATATTTCTACGATTAGACACTCGTTAACTAGCATTCCTGGATTAAGTATTGAGTTCAATAGTTTTATTTTACTTACTCTCGAGCCCAACCAACTCCCACAAAAGTAGTTAAGTCGGGTGAACATTGCCGAAGACGCTGAGGGAGACACGGATAAATCCCAATATACATTTTATGGAAAACATGCACAAAAAATATTTCTTGTACTTGTTTGATAACAAATTACGCCTTTTTAAATTTTATACTCAAAGAAAGGGTATCCTTCGGTTTTAAAAAAAGTTGTTATTTATGAGCTTTTTTTACAATTTTGAGGTGTTTATTCATAAAACATCGTATCCGCCAATTTATTACTGCCGTCTATGCTGCATATTATATGTTCCATACCTATGTCAATATTTTGTGACAACTATGTAACTTCTTCCTCAAACAGTAGGCGAAAATGTTTTTGATTTAAACTGGATGTACACAGTGTGTAGTGTTTAAACCTTGAATTCAAGTGCAGTGGTCACTAGGTTAGAAAATTATTCGGCTATTGAGCAACCTTGTTATAACCGAAAGCTACCCTTTCTTTGAGTATAAAATTTAAAGAAGGCGTAA